CTATACCCAGGTGACACTTTATGTTCCAATATCATTACAAGCTCGTCAACCAAGAGATGTCATCAACATTAACCATACCACATTCATCCATACACAACAATGACTGTTTCCATTCTCCTGTTATAGGAATGGGTGATTCCATGATACACTCGCCCGCTATAGTGCTGATTGGGAAGTATTTCAAGAAACGCCGAGGCCTAGCTACAGCAACTGCAAGTTCAGCGATGAGTTTAGCATCCGGTATATTCCCAGTATTTTCTCAATATTTGCTTGACGAATATGGTATTCGAGGCACATTGCTGATTTACACAGGCCTAATGATGAATATATGGGTAGGGGCATCTTTATATCGACCTCTACACTTCTATGAAAGAAAAGTGAAACCTGATGGCCCTCAGGACGATGCATATCAGCTGGAAGCGAGCAAGGTCTTCAGCGAAGAAGATGTCATTGGGACAGATCATGGAGCAAAGCAAACATATATTATTCACAATGGAAGTACTAGGAGTTGTAACGTTGTTGTAAAGGACACTGCCAATAGGTTCCTCGATTCTCAAAACGCAGATTCCTTTAGGAAAAGGACATACTCTGAAGGTTCAAAATGGATCCCAAAAGAATTTTTTTCGGAGTCTGAGAAGCTGGTATATATCAGTAACCCAGACCTTGTGAGCATCCCAACATTCATACCTAAATTGTGTGATTCAGCTAAAAAGGAAATACCTGTAGATGACAGTAATCAAAGAAAATCCGCCGTCGTCAGAAATTTGGGGAAGGTTATTAAAGCCTTTGACTTTTCATTGTTCAAGAATCCGATGTTCCTTCTTATTGTGGCATGTTGTCAGTTTGGTGTTGTTCAGAAAAACGTTCCAACATACCTCCCGGCACAGATGAAGGAAATGGGATACAACAAATCTGATGCAGCATTTCTGTTGCTCATCTCCGGAATTCTTGACTTCTTTAGTCGACTGTTCTATGGATTTATAGCTGACCTTGGATATCTTCGTGTTTGTCAAATAATGGCCATTGGTCTTGTGATCTCAGGATTAGCATCACAGTTTATAATGTTTTACACAACATATCCTTTACTTATAGCTTACTGTGTCGTGATTGGCATATTTGGAAGTGCCTTTCCGTGCCTTTTGCCATTGGTGATAGTGGATTTCATGGGAGTCGACTATATGGCAAAGACTCTTGGATTTACAGCATTATTCCAAGGATTTGCAGTTTCATTAACACATCCAATTTTAGGTAAGAGGCCCAACATACTGCCCTTCTATTTTATAACTTTGAAACCGTCAAGTGTGTCTTTATTGGTCAATGTGAAGTATGGAACCCAAGAATTATGAACCCTATCATGCCCAGTGTACATGTGTACATGCAGCAATCAGGGGACACTGTTGGCCTAGTTGCCTTAGGCGCCGCAATTCGCTATCCTAGTTTAGTGCCAGAAGCACATGGTTATTGTTTTAACTTTGTCAGCACCATACCCGTGGTAGTTGGTTTCCACAGGGTCATAAGTGTCTGAGACCTCACTTTGGAGATTCCTCCCATATCACGCTGACACATCCTGATATACCTGTATTGATGTTCAATGCAACGTTCAGCCTAACTCACTTGATAGATTAGATGAACCTTTGTTTGCAATATCTATCAAACTTTAGCCAAATGAACGACATGATTTGAAATAAGTCCTTAGGGAACATCATCTCAATGTTACAACATGTGGAAACATGTACGTTATGGCCATGATTTCATTTTCTAATTTTTACATTATTATTTTACAGGTGCATTACGTGATTTGAGCGGATCCTACCTTCCCTGTTTCCAGTACCTTGGTGCAGCCGCTGTCTCTGCTGCAGCACTGCTGCTCTGTGAGCCGCTTGTACGACGTTATGTAGCAACAACACGGGAAGGATCACCATCAACGGATAATGAATGTATTGAGCCATTGAAATAGGCAATAACAATAAAAGTTTTAATGTATACAATGCATGTATATATTTATATTGATTTTTATGTACTCCCTTGGGCAATGGACTTCCAGATAGAAAACAATTGACAAGTGGGAACACTGGCTAAAGGTGTCATTCTTTATATTTGCAGCAGCTGGACAGAATTCACTATTCAACAGATGTCTGATACTGCGGGCTTTCTCCCAAGTCATGCTGTTCAAGGCGGCTCTAAAAATAACTCACTCACTCAAAATGCAACATAAATAAATTTGTAGGGTAAGCTGACTTGGACCAAATGGTAATCCTAGGAAATATGTTTTCAGCCAATCAAAAGCTCGTTTGATTATCTGTTAAAAAATATTTTACAAAATATGGCAGTCTAGCAGTTCAGGATGATCGTCAAAGCACAGATAATGTCTCATTTTTTCACATGGAGTTTATTAGAAGATCCGCATCATGAGTGGGAATGGGTTCCAGCCACTGGACCATACTTCCCCTTGAAGTGATTAATTCGCGACGTACTACTTTCTCAACACGTCATTATTTCTGCTGGATTCAATGTCTATTTTTATATCAATGTATATATGCTACCTTGGGCATATGGATTCCCAATAGAAAACAGTGACAACTTAGCAATTTGGTTCAAGGTGCCATTCTAGATATTTGCAGGAGCTGGACTGAATTCATAATTCAATAGACGTGTAAGATTTTGGGTTTTCCTCCCAAGTCAAGCTGTTCAAGCTCACTCACTCAAAATGCAACATATAAACATTTAAAGGGTAAGCTGGCTAGGACCAAATGGTAAACCAAGCACATTTGTTTTAAGCCAACCAAATCCCTTGTGATTATCTGCTGAAATCAGCTTTGCAAAGTAAGAGCAATCTAGCAGTTAATGGTTACCATCAAAGCGGAGATAATGTGTCAATTGTTCACATTGAACATATCAGAAGATCTGTATCTAGAGTGGAAATGGGTAACAGACAGTGGAGCATACTCCCCCTTTAAGTGATGAATTCACGATGCAATACTTTATCTACACGTCATTTTTTCAGCTGGAAGTATTTTTTCTATAATAAGACATGATAGTGAATTCGCCGTGCAGAATTAAATCCCTGAGTCGTGTTAAGATCCGATGGTCGTTGGATTGATTTGAGGATTCGCTCCAAATATGACCATGGGTCTGTCCGCGATCTGCTTCACAGCGATGCTCGGACATGACCATGACATTAGCCGCAAGTTGCAACAGACACGGACATGTAGATGAAACACGGTACACATGTACGAAGCGTAAGTAACCCAAGCTTATGTCCCCCTCTGGCTCATGACACGATTTTCTTGTTCTTGTAAAGGAAATGCCATGAGTTATGTGGTGAAAGCTATGATGTGGCACTTTTGGTGACGTTACTTGACATTATTTTAACTAAACAACTCTAAACTGTTACAGAACAGTACAATCCTGCAGTCCAGTTGTCACTGCCTTAAACATACATGTATTTATTTGAAGTCAATTAAAACCCATTTTCATTATATGTTAAAGACAATGTTATGATTACCGTCAAGCAGGTAATGATGACCATCAATGAGCCGTTAAAAAAAGTTCGAAAATGGAGATGATAACTGTGTGGAAGTTGAATTAGTTGATTGTGAGCAGATCACTTACTTCACAAAATTGGACAAAATTCAAGTCACCGATCACCTCAGTATGGGAGTTCATGACAATAAATGTAGGATACGTTTGAAACTAACCACAAACACATGCATATTGCAGTCAGACCAAGACCATTATAGAAGATAATCGTGTATTTGTTATTAACATCTCCCAGCATGTCTATTGTGTGCAGCTCTATAGAGCGAATTGCATTGCATTGATTAATGGTACACCTGTGTGTCAAGATGATGTTTTGGCGTTCATGAAGTACCAACATACAAACACATGACTTATTTCTTTTCAAAACGACTATACCCACAGACGTTATATGAATAGATTATTGAACTTACTTTTAAACGCATAATTTCACATTTTGGCAGTGGATAGATCTAATATTAGAAGAGGTGGACATATTTCGAACCTTTTTATCACTTCCGACCCTGATAAGTAGAAATAAAACTATATAAACTATGAAGTTTCAGCACGAAAGCAGAACAATCAAACTGAGAAATCAAACGATTCCAGTTAGATGTGATCGTTTGCAACCATTTTACTCGTCCCTACATTTGTCCTGTATCTTATTTTATAAATGCATCAAAACATAGATTGTCTGTTGTTCTTATCTCATCACCATGGGGTGAAGCTCGAGTTATGATCTCACTGTCTAAAATTACAGTGCAGGTTTCACGAACCGAGTTGTGGCTGTACTAGCAACCTCGGTGTCCTCAGAATAGAAGATCACCAACTGGTGAGTCACGACTGCCAAAGATAAAGCGATACCAACACATTCGCATTCTAGGTTAAGAGGCTAAACAGGGCACGATGTCAAATGATCTCTCTCTCTCTCTCTCTCTCTCTCTCTCTCTCTCTCTCTCTCTCTCTCTCTCTCAGGTCAGGTAATCAGATCACTTGGTATTTGTGTACCCCCGTGTTGTCATTCACGGTATAACCAAAGGATGTAACTGTTTCAAGCTTGGTGTGGTAATATGGTTCTGAAGTTTGGAAGTTGGGAAGCAAACTTTCGTATACATGTAGTGTTACACGTTGGGTCTCAGCAGTCGCTGAAATTTTCCAATAACCTTAACAAGAACAATCTTAGAACTTAACATCTTATGTTATAGCATATGCATTATGGACGGTTTCAGAGAAGAAGCGAATGAGTTGTGTTTAACGCCGGTTTTAACAGTATTACAGTTATATCGCAGCGTGTCAGCTTAATGTGGGAGGAAAGCCAGAAGTGATGCAGGTCTCAGATGTTTACCACTTCGGTGAAACCCACGAGCACGGGTATGGTGCTGACAAACCTAGAAACATAATCGGGGCGAATCGGGATACGAACCCACAATTATAGGTTTCTGGCGTGTCCAAAGGACACAACTCTGCACAGCGAATCGCGGCGCCTCAGACGACTGGGCCACCCGTGGCCCCTCGGAGAACAAGACATACTTTGATTTTATTGCCATATCTATCTAGGTTGTAGGAGGTCATACGCAGTCCAAACTTGTTAAGCGTCGGCGATCGTTGTGAAACAGTTAGCGCGAGGATCATGTCGCCTGCTGGAGACAGTTTGGAAATTGGAGACGATAAAATGAACACGGATATGACACGTGCTCTACGCTTTGAGATGAAGCATGATGAAACGGAACAGCTTTCTGAAGTACACTCTCAAGAAGATAAGGGTGTAGATAGTAATGGTGGACTACCCATAGACCGGGGATGGGCCTGGGCAATACTTGGAGGTAGTATTCACACTGTTTATATTACACAATAAACTATACTCATCCCTTCCAGCAGTGTTTATACGTTGTGCGTGATCTCGGAAAACAACAATACAGATATATGAATTAACATTTTCAAAGAGACACCAAAATCTCTGATTAATAGAAATGTTTGAAACCATGTATATGTACTATTCTTTTGTTGAAAGAATATTTTCATTGCAATAATCTTAGAGTGATGAAAAGATGCCCTGACGTCCACTGTAACAAGACAAGCTGACAAAATACAAAACTAGGACTAGTGATTAATGATAAAGATGTGTATTTATAATACAGACAACTCTAACATATGTAGGGGGCGGTCGGATAGCCTAGTGGTTAAAGCGTTCGCTCGTCACGCCGAAGACCCGGATTCGATTCCCGACATGGGTACAATGTGTGAAGCCCATTTATGGTGTCCCCCGCCGTGATATTGCTGGAATATTGCTCACGCACTCACTCACTCACTCTAATATATGTAAAGTAAGTTATGGTTCTTGTTTATGACAACTGAGAGGAAATAATACAACAGTTAATGAAACATTTCCATCTACATATTTCAGGTTGTTTTCTGAATACAATGCTGATGGCAGGTTACAACAAATCTATGGCTTTGTTCCTTGTGGAGTATATAGAAATGTTTGATGCGTCCACAACCACCACAACTCTCATAATGGGAGTCAAAGCAATGACAAAGAGTATGATGTGTAAGTATATTCATGTATCAAGTTTTAATCATTTTACGAACCTGACCAACCAGGTATGCCCCCAAGACGATGAGGTATGATGTTATTTTTTTTATATTCGAATATTTAATTTAACATGTATTCAGATAGTAACATGATGAGCTTTAAGAGCCATGATGAACTTTTCGGCTCGACCACCCCATTGCCGCTTCAAGTACAGGATATAATAAATCTTATCCATCGGTTACATAATATAATGTAGCAAGCATTCAGGGCCAAAGACACCCATCTGAGAAACCTATCATACTTATATGTCTAAGCAGTGGCCACGTGTCTAATAACTTTATACCTCACTTCTGTTTACAATGCACGTTCTGTTGGAGTTTCTGGGGACGAGGAAGACAGTCATGCTGGGAGGTTTTCTCAGTGTGTCAGCTATACTCTCAGCCACCTTTGCACCCAGTATTAAAGTCATCATATGTGTTCATAGCGTTCTTGCAGGTATACATTCCAGCCTGCTTTTGAATGAGAGTTCCAATGTTGTGCTAAACTCCAATCAGCAGTAATCGATATATTTCAAAGCGGCATGTCCAGCAATGTTCGAAGCAATCGGAATATAATGACAAACAGTCAGATCACACATTACATTTCCACACAGTCTTTATGTTAGTCGCCCCTATTGCAAGGAAACGACAATTCTGACACGGAACTCCAGTGTAGTGTGTTTGAGTTACTTGTGCAATGGTAATATTGCTAAGGAAAACAAACAAAATGGAGTACAATTACCATGATTACTCATACCATTGCATTTATCCGAAATATGTTGCATATGTATTTCATGTATTGCAGGAATTGGTCATTCAATGATTCATGCACCTGCCATAGTGTTGGTAGGTAAATACTTCAAGAAACGCAGAGGTCTTGCTACCACCACCGCCAGTACAGCCATGCGCTGTGTATCAGGATTGTTCCCAATTTTTTCACAATGTCTCCTCAGTGAATACGGTATCCGTGGAACTTTGTTTATATTTGCTGGACTTACAATGAATATGTGGGTAGGAGCATCCCTATTTCGCCCTCTAGAATTTGATAGAAAGAAATTCACGATGGCCAACAAGCTACTCCAAACCAATGACCAAGTGGGTTTCAGTCTTGTCCTGGTGTTGGCACAATACTTGCTGACCCACAGTCGGAAACAAACAGTTATAAAGCCGGTGACAGACCCAAACCAACACAAACATGCCTGAGGAATGTGAAAAAAATCTTAAATGCATTTGACTTTACTCTGTTCAAGAAGCCCATGTTTCTGCTGATCGTTGGTGTGTGTCATTTTGCTGTGGTGGTGAACAAGTTTCAACATATCTTCCTGCACGGTTGAACGAATTGGGATACAGTCAATCGGAGGCAGCATTTTTGTTGCTCATCTCTGGAGTTCTTGACTTCATTAGTAGGATATTTTTTATTGATTTTTAGCTGATCTGAAATATCTTCGTGTCAGTCAATTAATGTCCATTGGTCTTGTGTTCTTAGGACTGTCATCTCAGTTTATCGTGTATTACACAACATACCCTTTACTTGTGGCCTACTGTGTTGTGATTGGCATCTTCTGAAGTGCATATCAGTGCCTCCTACCGTTGACGGTTGTAGATTTCATGGGAGTCGACTACATGGCAAAAACTATTGGATTTACAGCTCTGTTCCAGGGATTTGCTATTTCACTAACACACCCCTTCATAGGTACATGAAACAGTTTGTACACCCTTTAAAATGTAGAATGCGAAATGAGTTTTTAAAATTTAATGATCCAATTGGCCGATAATGTAACAATATAACGAAATTACCAAACAAAAAAGTTCAAGATATTCGCCTCCTTAATATAAAATAATGAAGTAGAATATGTATTACCAATAAATTCAAAACAGTTATGATGTTTTCTCCACACCAATGCAAGTGTGCACTTCATATGTACAGGTGGTGTATACATTGTTATCTTATCGGAGTGCACTTTGTTCAAATATGACCAGACGTTTACTCAACCTGTTTAACTATTGGGATTTTCAAGAGTCGATGTACAGCCCTCCTAGGATATGATGCCACCTCTCTTCCAGCGGAAAATATGGCATTATTGCAATGGTGTCATTATAATCAGGGATGTGAAAATCAGAACATACTGACATGATATATAGAAGATAAGATAAGAACCAAGACACATCTATTCAATCCGAGCTATGTAATCAACAGGATTTTATCATATACATTTCCAACGCTGGAGTCAAATGTGGACAATTTAAATTCAGATAGGTTGGAAAAATATCTTTGACATTAATCTTCCTGGAGCCAGCTGATAATTGTGCCAGTGTTTCAGTCAAGAATGAGCGCTGCTCAAAAGTCTTAGCTTGTTGATTTGCTTGTTTCCTAAGACTCCACAATACCCCCATGCGAATGGTCAAGCTATTTAGAAAAGCTAAAAATATTAAAATCAAACTAATTTGTTTGTTATTTTAAGACGTTGGATGATTCTCTGTGTGGGGAATAACGGTGGAAACAACTGAGATCAATGCAATTAGTTAGTTGTTTAGAAGAGAAAATTATCTCCAAAGGCCTGTCTGCCTGCCTGCTTGAATATAGTGTGAGACCAACAAGCAATCAACAAATTGCTTTGCAGACTTAACTAGTTTCACAAACCAATCAATTTACAGCACAGCAATTACAATGACAATATGCAATAGAGTGGTAGTACGATATTCAATGGCAATATCAAATGATGGCAGTGGTGATAGCAAAATAACAAAAGGTTAAGTGATGATCTTCACACAACGGCTGGCCTTGATGTTTTGTCAGATGGAATATGAGATGAGACAGGGACTCGCCTGATCCATTTATACAATCTAACCAGCTTCCAGCACTTTCCACACAGTGTCAGACCAGTCCAGTGTCACTTGAACATGAAGGAATATTCCACATGACTCCTTAACGCTTGACCTTCATCCATTCTATTCCGGAAGTTTACATATAATTCGAGCATCTAATTATAATAACTTCCTCTGTACTGAGAAACTGTTATCCCAAATATACCATCTGATACATTTGACGACTTTCTAAATGGCATTACGTGTTCATAGCTTTCGGCCATGGGAGCCGTGCCACTTTTCACTTTTCAGAGGGGTACACCAATTACCTGATCTAGACTATAAGTTGTCGGACCTTCATTTTTGTGGCTCGCTGGCTGAGTGGTATATATCGCTAACTTTGTGTGCTGGCGATAAGGTGCCTACCTCTGGCAGTGTGGGTTCGAACCCGGACGGGACTCAACCCCAAAGAGTACGAGAATCTGTACTTTACTGAGAAAGTGTTATCCCAAATATAACATATGTATGTATGTATGTATGTATGTATTGAATTTCAGAGTAACTTGAGTCCATGTTAAATTCCAGTGGGATGTTGTAAAACAAAGTTAATTTGTCGTCGTCAAGTGGCCACAGCATAAAACAATCGTCAATGTATATTATATACATATATGAAGCATTGTTCGGTCACACGATGCGAATGAATAAATATTTATTCGTTTTCCGATAGGAAGAAGCGTCAATGTCAATCATTGCACATGCACTTAACGACATAAGACAGGACATAATATCAGCACGTGGGAAGATAACAGCCGAAGGTCTCATGGCTGCTTTTGACCTCAATAAGTCAATGATAGAGACTGCAGTGAGTGTTTGCTTTGTCGACGGTGAGGTAACACAAATAACGATACATTCAGTCTCTTTGCAGTCATGGCAATAAGTAATGTAAAAGGCGATGACAAGGACGTTTTAAATACAGAAGAAAAAAGCCGAGTAAGTAAGGAAGGACTACCTATCGACCGAGGATGGGCTTGGGCTATACTGGGAGGTAAGTATATACGTATACAACGACTAACAACTGAAACATATACTTTTCTGTATACATTAGCCATTTAAAAAATCGTACCCTGTATTTATTTTCAGAGGAACACATTTTTGTTCACAACATAACATCACTCATATTGAAAAGCAGAAACTGAAATCGAAAATGTTAAGATGACATAGTATGTTACTTTCAAAATTGTGTTTACCAAATTGAGGCCAATGTCGAGATCGGATATTCATTTCAGGGTGTTTTCTGAATGCTATGTTCATGGGTGGATACAACCGATCTCTGGCGCTATTCTTCGTGGAATACCTGGAGATGTTTGGTGCATCTACAACGAAGACAACACTCATCCTTGGGGTAAAAGCTATGACACACAGCCTAATGTGTAAGCAGACTAATTACAACATATCATTATCCTGATTGAATTAATAGTATCTATTTTAGGGTATATGTTTTACTTTTTTTCTGATTGTGTTTAGAGGAGACTTCTCACCCATGTTTGTAAACAGCAGAACTCAATCACTTTATACTGCGTGCTCTTAATGACATGCCCGGAGTAAGCTTGGTAGAAAAATGATTGTATTTGTATCTGAAATGAGTCATTACCTTCGTGATATATGTAAAACAGTAATTAAGTATGCTTGTCTGCAGATTGACCTGGGCACATATATCTCTTTGTACTAGTTGCCCGGAAGACTTATACCCATGCGCGGATACAATTATATTTGGAAAAGAAGGGGTTGTGATTAGGCAATTTCTTATTCAGTAACCGCATGATACTTTTTTCAGCAATGGTCTCAGTCATTGTGTTGTATCTTTATCTTTAGGATACCAGATCTAGATCAGCTACACAATGTATAAATAGAGATTATCACGCGAGTGTGTTTGGGGATGGTAAATATCTTGTATTAGGAATAAACATTGTATTTAGCGAGCCATCCAAGTTTTCCTCGAATGTGCGCATTAATATGTATTAGGTCACTGGGTAAGTGATGTGTCAGTCGGAAAGCGACAGTAGCCAATATAGTTCCAAATGAAACATTTTTCTTATACAGTGGCGAACCAACATATACGCAAAACAACAATTGCCAACACGAATTTTGACCTTTGTCAAAGGGAAGCTACTCTAACCCTAGTCTATGAGACGTCACGGCCAAGGTCAGACGTTGTTGACAGTCTGTCCTGTAATAACATTACGAAAGAAGTCCCTTCTTGATCTTTGATATTTGCATCTCTATCCGCATAATACCCCAACGGATATCGTTTTTATCCGTTAGCTTTATCCTGCAGAGAAACCTACCCATTATATGATAAATGAATGTATGCCTAATAAAAAAGAGGGAGAGAGATGCTTACCTGCATCCTGCTTCTGGATTCATGTGTGGTGTCAACGAACTTGTGTACAAATTAAATTGCACATTGCTTAACGTTGTGCTAATGTCATGTTTTAATTATGATTTCCGTCCAGCCCTAGTTACAGATCTAACTGGAGTAGTGCAAACATAAAACACAGGTTGTCGTGTAGTTAGGTCAGAAATCAGAGATCAGAAGAAACGCCCAAAAACATGTACGTCATAATACACATACAAGTTCATGCATATATGTTGATATATCTATTATTTACGACATCACAGTGACAACATCGTAGACAGTAAATAGAACCCAAGTGTTTAACAAATACATTTAAGGATAACGTTTGTCAAAATGTTTATTTTGTATCAGCATACATATATAATAAACTGCGGGGCAAAAGAAACGCCATCAAATAAATAATGGTCGTCAGTTTTCAACAAATTCGCCAAACAGCATGAAAACAGTTGGGAACACATAGCTGGAATGCAACTTACATATTCCCTGTGAATATGTGCACGTGATTGACGTTTGTTTTTGCGAGAAAAGTGTATTTAATCACTAAAAAATGCAAAATGTGCACAAAGAAACACGTATGAAATTCTGGTACAAAACATGAGCAGGATTGTACTCTCTCATCACACGAAACCGTTTAAGACAACGAACAAGCCTCGGGTAACCGCAGAGCAGAGGGGGAGAGCCATCGATGTGATGCAAATGGGATTGACGCAGGAGCACGTCGCCAGGATCATAGGCTGCTTTAAGTGCACCATTGCCAGACTTCTCACACGTCACAGGCAAACTAGCAGTACTGCAGACAGGCCGAGGAGTGGAAGACCTAAGGTCAAGACCCAGCAGGAAGACCGGTATTTACGGGTGCTTCACCTAATGTCCAGATTCCCAACAGTGACGTCATCATCCGCAAACAGCCTTGGACATCCAGTCAGCAGAAGGACCATTGCTAGACGACTCCGCCTGTATGGTCTCCGTGACTATCGACCTTTCAAGGGCATGACATTAACGTTGCTACACCGACGCCACAGACTGAGATGGCCTAGGACTGTACAGCTGTGGAAGCAGAGAAATTGTTCAAGAGTGCTCTTCAGCAACGAGAGTAGACTTTTCAAGTCTGATCGGCAGGTTCGAATCTACCGACGACGTGGTGAACTGACGGCACGTTGTTGCGTCCAAGTGGAGACTTAATTATGGAGGCGGTAGTGTCATGGTCTGGGGTGTCATCTGCGGGAACCAGAACACGGATCTGGTCATCATCGACGGAAATTTCACTGCAGGTCGTTACATTAATGATGTTTTGCGGCCTATGGTACTGCCTTTCCTGCAACGACACCCAGGGACGCTGTTTCAGCAGGACAACGCCACGCCTCACACAGCTCTAGTCACTTGCGACTTTCTGACAACGTGACCGTATTACAGTGGCCAGCCAGAGCACCGGATCCGTCGCCCATAGAGCACCCCTGGGACCAACTTGGACGCAGGATTAAGAAACATCAACAGCCGTCATTGACGAGCTATGCCTTGGCATTTGCCCTGCAGGAAGAATGGCCTAGGATCCCTAATTAGGATGTCAGGACTCGTGTGCTCAGTTTGACGTCGTGTTCTGGCTTGCAACGTTGCTTGAGGGGGTCACATCCGATACCGAGCCATGTGTGTAGCACATGGTTTTAAAAGACATCGACGTCGATTCTGTGGGTGTGATCGAATACGGGGCAGTGCACTCAGCATGATAAACGTGTCTGCAGAACTTAAAGTACCTGGTTTTTGATCTTGTCATTTTCAAATACCGTTTTTGAATAATTGTTTTCTTTATAATGAAACATCAACTGTTACTTAATTTTGCGTCTGTTTTGTTTTGGATCAGAAAATTGTTTGGTGGCGTTTCTTTTGCCCGTCAGCTAAATATGCTATACATTCACATACAAATCAGCTGGATCCACCAAATATTGAACTTTAAATATCATGATAATAATCATATATATATATATATATAATATATAATATATATATATATATATATATATATATATATATATATATATATATATATATATATCATATACTGCTCCCAATTTCGTGGATTGTCTGGTCCAGACTCGATTATTTACAGACCGCCGTCATATAGCTGGAATATTGCTGAGTGCGGCGTTAAACAACAAACCAGCATATATTGCTAAACACTAACACATACACAGAAAACACATATGCATTCTCATACTCACATTCTCTTCAATGTAGGTTAAAGAGGGAGCAGATATATAGTGTCGGAGTTCCTATTTGTTCTTTAGTTCTTTATGACCAAAACCAATGGCTACATGAATTAACTAGTAAGATCAATATTTGAATCCAATGCACTATATACAAATACTAAAAGTGTATATGTAACACCACACAACCAACGTACAATGTTTTACTCTGACACAGAATGAAGCAATCATTTTGGTCCCAAATAGACACAGATGTGGCATTGACAAACATACCTGTAAGTATACCAATATACCTATGTTTATGTACCGTTGTAACCCATCTTATGGTTGTATACTTTTAGCACTGGTTACTATGAACATTCTGTTGGAGTTTCTGGGGACGAGGAAGACAGTCATGATGGGCGGGCTCCTCAGTGTGTCAGCTATTCTCGCAGCAACCTTTGCACCCAACATCATGGTCCTCATATGTGTTCATAGTGTTCTTTCAGGTAAGTCTTGACGCCAGTGTTGTGACCATTTAATAGAAGAAAAGATTAACGACATGTAGAGTGTCCTTGACGAAAGCTCATTTCGTGTCTTACAGATCAATATTATACAAGACATGTCCCCTAAAAACTTCCATACTTTGGCGCTGTAGTGATTATAGCATTGGTCGAAGTCCATTGTTCTGTCCGTCCATGGGTCAATGTGTGCAGCCATTATTTGATTGGACAATGTTGGTAATTTCATCCACTCACATCAACACTCACCCTCTCATTAAATGCCCTATACTCAGCATAAGGTTACCCCTCATGTTCCAGGGGGCACGGGTGGTCCAGTCGTCTAAGGCGCCGCGATTCGCTGTGCAGAGTAACGTCCCTTGGGCAAGCCAGAAACCTATAATTGTGGGTTCGAATCCCGGTTCGCCCCAATTATGTTTCTAGGTTTGTCAGCACCACACCCGTGCTCGTGGGTTTCACCGAATTGGTAAACGTCTAAGACCTGTATCACTTCGGGCTTTCCTCCCACATTAAGCTGACACGCCGCGATATAACTGTAATACTGTTAAAAGCGGCGTTAAACCCAACTCACTTACTCACTCACTTCTTGTTCCAATATCATTACAAGCTCGTCAACCAAGAGATGTCATCAACATTAACCATACCACATTCATCCATACACAACAATGACTGTTTTCATTCCCCTGTTATAGGAATGGGTAATTCCATGATACATTCTCCCGCCATAGTGCTGATTGGGAAGTATTTCAAGAAACGCCGAGGCCTAGCTACAGCAACTGCAAGTTCAGCGATGAGTTTAGCATCCGGTATATTCCCAGTATTTTCTCAATATCTGCTTGACGAATATGGTATTCGAGGCACATTGCTGATTTACACAGGCCTAATGATGAATATATGGGTAGGGGCATCTTTATATCGACCTCTAGACTTTTATGAAAGAAAAGTGAAACCTGATGGCCAACAGGACGATGCATTTCAGCTTGAAGCGAGCAAGGTCTTCAGCGAAGAAGATGTCATTGGGACAGATCATGGAGCAAAGCAAACATATATCAATCACAATGGAAGTACTAGGAGTTGTAACGTTGTTGTAAAGGACACCGCCAATAGATTCCTCGATCCTCAAAACGCTGATACGTTTAGGAAGAGGACATACTCTGAAGGTTCTAAAAGGATCCCAAAGGAATTTGTTTCAGAGTCTGAGAAGCTGGTATATATCAGTAACCCAGACCTTGTAAGCATCCCAATAGTCATACCTAAGTTGTGTGATTCAGCTAAAAAGGAAATACGTGTAGATGACCGTAATCAAAGAAAATGCGCCATCATAAGAAATTTTGGGAAGGTTTTTAAAGTCTTTGACTTTTCATTGTTCAAGAATCCGATGTTCCTTCTTATTGTGGCATGTTGTCAGTTTGGTGTTGTTCTGAGAAACGTTCCAACATACCTCCCGGCACAGATGAAGGAAATGGGATACAACCAATCTGATGCAGCATTTCTGTTGCTCATCTCCGGAATTCTTGACTTCTTTAGTCGACTGTTCTATGGATTTATAGCTGACCTTGGATATATTCGTGTCTGTCAAATCATGGCCATTGGTCTTATGATCTCAGGATTAGCATCACAGTTTATAATGTTTTACACAACATATCCTTTACTTATAGCCTACTGTGTAGTGATTGGCATATTTGGAAGTGCCTTTCCGTGCCTTTTGCCATTGGTGATAGTGGATTTCATGGGAATCGACTATATGGCAAAGACTATTGGATTTACAGCATTATTCCAAGGATTTGCAGTTTCATTAACACATCCAATTTTAGGTAAGAGGCCGAACATACTGCCCTTCTATTTTATAACTTTGAAACCGTCAAGTGTGTCTTTATTGATCAATGTGAAGTATGGAACCCAAGAATAATGAACCCTATCATGCCCAATATACATGTTGGCCTAGTTGCCTTAGGCGCCGCAATTCGCTATCCTATTTTAGTGCCAGAAGCACATGGTTATTGTTCTAACTTTGTCAGCACCATACCCTTGGTAGTTGGTTTCAACAGACTGATAAGTGTCTGCGGCCTCACTTTGGAGATTCCTCCCATATCACGCTGACACATCCTGATATACCTGTAGTGATGTTCAATGCAACGTTCAGCCTAACTCACTTGATAGATTAGATGAACCTTTGTTTGCAATATCTATCAAACTTTAGCCAAATAAACGACATGATTTGAAATAAGTCCTTAGGAAACATCATCTCAATGTTACAACATGTGGAAACATGTACGTTATGGCCATGATTTCATTTTCTAATTTTTACATGATTATTTTACAGGTGCATTACGTGATTTGAGCGGATCCTACCTTCCCTGTTTCCAGTACCTTGGTGCAGCCGCTGTCTCTGCTGCAGTACTGTTGCTCTGTGAGCCGCTTGTGCGACGTTATGTAGCAACAACGCGGGAAGGATCACCATCAACGGATAATGAATGTATTGAGCCATTGAAATAGGCAATAACAATAAAAGTTTTTTAAAAGTCTATATTTATGTTGATTTTTATGTACTCCCTTGGGCAATGGACTTCCAGATAGAAAACAATTGACAAGTTGGAACACTGGCTCAAGGTGTCATTCTTTATATTTGCAGCAGCTGGACAGAATTCACAATTGAACAGATGTTTAATACTGCGGGCTTTCTCCCAAGTCATGCTGTTCAAGGCGGCTCTAAACATAACTCACTCACTCAAAATGCAACATAAATAAATTTGTAGGGTAAGCTGACTTGGACCAAATGGTAATCCTAGGAAATATGTTTTCAGTCAATCAAAAGCTCGTTTGATTATCTGTTAAATAATATTTTACAAAATATGGCAGTCTAGCAGTTCAGGATGATCGTCAAAGCACAGATAATGTCTCATTTTTTCACATGGAATTTATTAGAAGATCTGTATCATGAGTGGGAATGGGTTCGAGCCACTGGACCATACTTCCCCTTTAAGTCATTAATTCGCGACGTAATACTTTATCAACACGTCATTATTTCTGCTGGATTCAATGTCTATTTTTATATCGATGTATATTTGCTACCTTGGGCATATGGATAATGTGTCAATTGTTCATATTGGACATATCAGAAGATCTGTATCTAGAGTGGAAATGGGTAACAGACAGTGGGGCATACTCCCCCTTTAAGTGATTAATTCACGCTGCAATACTTTATCTACACGTCATTTTTTCAGGTGGAAGTATTTTTTCTATAAGATAATTAGACATGTTAGTGAATTTGCCGTGCAGAATTAAATCGCTGAGTCGTGTTAGGATCCGATGGTCGTTGGATTGATTTGAGGATTGGCTCCAAATATGACCATGGGTCTGTCCGCGATCTGCTTCACAGCCATGCTCGGACATGACCATGACATTAGCCGCAAGTTGCAACAGACACGGACATGTAGATGAAACACGGTACACATGTACGAAGCGTAAGTAACCCAAGCTTATGTCCCCCTCTGGCTCATGACACGATTTTCTTGTTCTTGTAAAGGAAATGCCATGAGTTATGTGGTGAAAGCTATGAAGTACCAACATACAAACACATGACTTGGAAATATATTTATACTCGTATTGAAACACGGAATATCTACGATTAGTTGTGTGAGACAGGATGGCATTCACCTACTGTTTTCTAGGCGAATTTTCAACGATGACATAGCCTTTCATTTAACAGTATATTTGGCAAGCTCGTGTCCCCTTATATTGTTTAAATCGCTTCTTTAAGGTACTAGCAGTGCTGAATTAATTTTAGAAGATTCTAGAATACTCTTGACTCTAAAGATAGCACTTTTTACACCACTGTTTACTTTAGATAGTACTTTATTCCTGACAACTAACCATTTTCAATACGCTGTGCTAAAACCTTCTACTGAGCAGAAACAATGTAATAAAATTACAACATTGTTCGACAAAAATATACACTGTCATATAGAAAATCTGGAACGACATCGTGTAAAATGCTTAACATCATTGTAACCGGGATATGAAATCAGCGCAACGGACCCAAGGTTATTGGTTTCCATGTAAACGTTCCCCAAGAACAAGAGTTTTAGGTATATACCATGTTTCGAAAAAGCTATATATTAAATTCTCCAGTAATCAGAATTGCACGGATTTCAGCGGAGATTGCGGAGCTTTAAGCTACAAGAGCAGATTCCATTTATAGGCTCCGTGCTGGTCCCAATGAAATGACTGTGTCAACATGCATGTCTAATGTACAGGTCAATCTTGAACCAAATATAGCCCCAAAGGTGTAAGCTGTACACGACTGTTCATACTATAACTAATACTGTAGAAAGATATGTCCTGCTTCTCTTGAATAATGTGATGTAGTAGAACAGAAAAGTTTCTAATGGCATGGGCGGTTTGGTTATAGTTCCATCAGCAGCAAGTTCACCGTCGTAAGTATACGAGACATTCTGCTATTGACTTCTGACTGGTAAATCTGGTGAAGGAGCAAGGTAAAGTCGTCATACTGGATACTGGAGATCGGTAAGTGTCACTGCGATGTATACTAGTAGTAAAAACAAATATACAAAGTTCCGACATAAAGTTTAAATCTTCTCCTCGATTTATTTGTTTGTTGTTGATTAACGTCGCGCTCAGCAATATTCCAGTATAATCTGACCTCCATTTCCAAAGCAGTCCTGTTTCGTTTGACATTCCAACTTTCCATGGTTATGAAGAAAATAGACTCGAAAGTCAATCATTTTCTCCTATTCTAACCTTTGTTCTCTTGTCTTGGAACATTTCGAACTTTACCCCCGATCCTATAAAATACAATGCGCAAAACGTTGTTATTTACAACTGCTTTATGTTATATATGTTATGACACCGGCATTAAGAACAACATGGGCTATTTGAACCAAAAATGATTTACTGATTAAGGTGGGAATGTTTTATTGTCGGAAAGCACTTGGACTCAAGGCCCTGTACATATGCAAACTCGTGATGATCGGGTGTTTACAGTGTTACGTATACATTATTTCGTTCTCTGAGCTCTTGTGTGGGAGACTGCTTTTCAATGTTTGGTGTCGAACTTAATAAGGCATCCTTTAGTCTGACTCGGTACATTACTGCCTAAAAGGTCATTCCCTTAACACGCGTTGAGAACGCATGTAACAAGCATGTGACACGGGTGCTCAACGGGTTATTAAACGCCTAAATCTTCAGTTATTTTACAAATTGACTGAAAAATATGTCCATCTGTATCATTATAAAACGAATTCCATATTCCATGATATACACATATTTATTTCCATAAAGTGGAGAGATTGGCAAACAAGCAAATTTTGCTTATCTGAATGCCTCTCCCAAACATGATATACATACAAATAGCAATGTATTGATAGTGACATGAGAAATAGCATACATTGTATAATTGCCATTAAAGGTAAGTATTGTTCTGTTAGTGTTTAATTACTGGATTATCTTCCATAATTACAGTTACATTATTATTTACATTCAGCACAACAACATCGCAGCATCATATAGCAAAGCCATCATCTCAGACAAAATCTCTAAATCGGCAGAAAGATAGAATAAAACTGTGCACCGATTTCAAAATTTCAAGATTTGTTACTGTCGTTACATTTGAATTACCATTTATAATTGAATTTAAATCGTAGCCTTTAACGAAATAATGCATGTTTTGCCTTGCTGTACTGTTTAAGGGACACGTAAGAAAGAAATGAAGTGCATCTTCCGTATGAAAGCCACAAAAACATCTCGGGCTGTCGGATATAAATCTGGCAAATTTGTCGGCGTTTAGATCACTGCAGCCAAGCCTGAGACGGGAGTGTATAACCTGACAGAATCTTGATCCATAATTTGTATCAAAGTATATACCATTCCTATCATTGCTTTTTATAAAACTTTTGAAACTTCCTAAGCTACTGGCATTGGTGTATTGAATAGGTAGTGAGTTCCAAATATTAACTGTATCTGGAATAAATGATTTGGCATAATTATTTGATTTACACTTTGTGGTTTGCAGCTGTGAGCAGTTTCTCAAATTATAATCACTTGCATCCGACACTCTATTTGGAACTAAGGATGAGAAATAGTCCGGTACTAGATTGTTAACCATTTTATAAAAAAATATTCAACTTTTGAAAATGCCTTCTTTCTTTCTAATGACGTAAGATTTGTTTCTTTATAAAGTTTACCGTGACTTGTGCCACGAACAGCCCCACAAATAGTTGTGAGTGCATCTAGATTTAGTTTTTCAAGTAGTAACGCCTGTTCTTGTGTGCAGTTGTCCCATATGTGGCAACAATAATCAAATATCGGTAATATGAAAGATTTATACATAGTTTCCAGTGTGTGTTTTTTTTCTATTTAAACGATACTTGAAACTCCTGAGACAGTTAATCATTGGACTGACTTTCTTGACTAGGCTATCAATGTGATCGTTCCACATACAATCTTCTTGGAGAGTAAGTCCTAGATGTTTATGAGAATGAACTTCCTGAACAGTAGTGTTACTCATTTTCAAAACTGGTTTTCCATTTGGAAGAATCTTACGGGAAAATTGGATAGATACTGTTTTATTAGGATTGAAATCGACCTGCCCAAGAGGATATTCTACTCAGATCGTTATTCAGACAATGTGCTGCTGTATCCGGGTCATTTACCACGACATATAGGGATGTGTCATCGGCAAACAATCTTATATTACTATCAATATCGTCTATAATGTCGTTTATGAAAATTAGAAACAGTAGCGGTCCTAAAACTGACCCTTGTGTAACTCCGGCCGTAACTGGTCGTAAGTCTGAACTATACCCATTGATAACAACCCGTTGGCATCTATGTTTTAGGTAGCTTTCAAACCATCTCAATAATTTCCCTTCAAAACCATAGGATTTGAGTTTATGGATAATGCCTTCGTGCCAGACTTTATCAACGGCCTTACTAATGTCGCAAAAGACTGCTCTGATTTCTTTGCCTTTATCCATTTCTCTAGCAATAAAATCATATAAGTAAGTCACCTGGTTCGCGGTAAAATCTCCTGGCATGAAACCTGATTGATTGAAGATTTGTTAGCAAATTATTATCTCTTAAGTAATTAAAAACATATTTGAAAACGCAGTTTTCGAATATTTTAGCCACACAACACGTGAGACCTATAGGTCTATAATTACTATATTTATTGATATTACCTTTCTTATAAATAGGCACAACGGAAGATTCTTTCCAACTTACCGGAAAAGTAGACTTATCCAGGGATGCATTAAACAATTTAGCCAGTGGATATGATATCGCTGAAGCACTTAATTTCAATAATCTATTGCCAAAACCGTCGGGCCCTGTTGCTTTAGTTACATTAACAGATAGGAGAACATCTTGAACTTCCTTTGTTGTTAGAATGATAGTAGAGAGCGATTTTTCTGTGTTAAGCTTAATATAAGGGAGAGTTTTATCAGGATATTTAACAGATGCCTGGTCAGAGAAATAATTGTTCATCACATTTGCAATATCATCATATAGTATATCGTGGTAATTAATGGGAGGACATTTTGTATTACTGGTGCCCCTCAGATATTTCTTTAACAAGCCGCCACCATACTTTTTCACCGTACGCATCATTAATTTTACTATCAATCTTGGGTACATATTTTCTCTTTGCAGTGCGAACATTGGACATAACACGGTTTCTTATTTGACGAAATTTAGTCCAGTCAGAATCTAAGTTACGGTTTTTAGCAACCTTATGAATTCTGTTACGTTTCCTGATCAGTCGACGTATCTCACTAGTGATCCACAGTGGATCATTAGGTCTAATTGTTACACATTTGTTAGGAATATGATTATTACATACGTCAGTAATTGTCCTGGTAAAACATTCTGCCATAACGTCAACATTTCTGGATGATTACAAATGATCCCACTTTGTCTCAGTTAAGCTATCAATAATTTCTTCATTATCAGCCATGTTGTAATTATTGATTTCTCTTTTAAAATTTGCATTGCTAGGTATGTTTGCCTTAATTTTTACGAATATAGGACAATGATCACTGCATATAGGATCAGATACACCCGAACTCCACACACTGTCTGCATTAGTTACGAACAGTAAATCAATCAGAGTTCTTGAGGTAGGTGTAATCCTGGTGGGCTCAGTTATAATTTGGGTCAACCCATATATTGCTTGTAAGTGATCTATTTTGCTCTTACTTTCTCTAAGAATATCTAGAATCAAGTCCCCAGCTATAATAGTTGGTATATTCGATTCAAATGCATTACATATTGACTGATCTATCAACTCCCAGTAAGCCTCGCTTTTATCTGCCCTATAGAATGTCCCTACTACGTATTTACTGGTCTTGCATCTTACCTGTACCCATAATGCTTCGAGTCCATTTACGCACAGATGATCCATTTTTTTAACATATAAATTGTTTTTTACATATACAGCTACACCCCCGCCTCGACTTGGTCGATCTTTTCTAATTGGCAAATGAAAACCTGGAATTGAAATATCAACAGTAGGTATGCCGTCATGCAGCCAAGTTTCGGTTAAGCAAATAATATCGTATGAATGAAATGCAGTGCAGAATAGATCTTAGACTACCTTGTCCTTTAAACTCCTTACATTTAGATGAACAATCTTTAAATTACCATATTTTACTGGCCAAGGGTTTGGGTGAACATCCCAGCAACATAAGAGAAGTATCACTACTATAATAGACGTTCTTAGCTTATAGATATAATAGGAAGAGAGAAACAGCAAGTACTTTGTACATGTGCAAGATGCCTTGCTATAAAGACTAGAAGCAAATAATCCCACCGCCTGTCAAAAAATGCGCTATATCTACCGTCATCTTTTTTTAACAGAATATATTTGTTTTCTATAGAGGCAGGCGGGGAGGTTACGCGCGAAGTATAGATTTGCAATGCTGAAGTGCACTATATATAACCAAAAACTGACAACAGAAAGCTGAATGAAAACTAGAGAGAGAAAGAATATCACAACACTCACAGACAAGACATGACCAACACAAAATGAAATTTCGAAACATAAACAAAATCTATATACATCACCCAAAATTGTCGGTTGTAGAATAGTAATAAAAAAGCAGATTAATTGGGTAACAATAAGAAGAAAGGATAAAATCAAAGTCACCATAGTTTGGTGAGGAGTAATGAAAACTAACTGAGAGGGGGAAATAATATAAAATATGTTTAAAACAGATTGTGTGAACGGAAGTAGTAGATAAATTTACAATAAAACAAAAATAGATGGATAAATAACAATAATAATATGAATAATCTGAGCTCACGCCTGGGGCAAGTCTAGATTTTGGCACACCTGGGTTAATTGCACGGACTCGGCACGTGCATATCAAATGAACAAGCCACAACGATCAAAATTAGCCTTCTAACAGGTTGGAATATACTTCAAATATCAAGGAATATGCACCAAATTAAAGATTAAGGACATGATGGAGCAAATGTGCATGCGGACCATATCCAGGTAAGTTAAGAGT